TGCTAATCCACCAGCCGAACGTGGCAATTACTGGCAAATCCCCCCTTATGGAGAAGACTTATATTCAGCAGTGGGCAGCTAACGGCTGATGTGGTGATAAAGATGATGATATCTGATCTCGTAACTAACTGGGCATCTACGAATTTAAAAGGTAAGTAAAGCCAACATTTAGAATTACAACTATTGTGTAGGTAATTGAAAATGTTTAAAGCAAGTGGTAATAAATGTTTAGTTCGTACATTGTTCAGAATTCAGAAACTTTATCTCGCTCTCGATTGTGTACAGCGCCTTGTATCTATATTGTTGCTACTTGTGAAAACCTATTAGCGGCTTATTTTGTGATCCTAAACTGTATCTTTTTGTTCTAATGTAGCCCTGGTTTTCCTATAATTAAATAAATAATTAAATAAATCATAACATATTATTACATTTGCGTGTTATAGAAGAAAAAATAAAACGCTACGCTTTATTGGCTCGGTGTGCAGTTGTGGTGTACTACATGCTCTCGTGCGCGTCCCGTGAATACTTCCGGTTATTAATTCCTAGCTATCGGCCGCGAGTAAAACCACTTAAAGAAAAATGGAAACTTAATTTTGTGTTTTGTTATTTTTTTTATGACATTTTCTCCGCGGAACACAGTTTTAAATTACATAACCCGTAATATTATAAGTACGTGATTACATATTACAGTGTAATAACTTGTGACATTATGTTTTTTTTTATGCCACTGAGATGGCAAACAAGCATACGGCCCACGGTAAGCGGTTACCGTAGCCTATGAACGCTTATAAACCAGGGATATTACGCACGCGTTGCCGACCCTGAAGAAACCTCTTTACCCCCCTTTTGAAGAACCCCATGCTGTAGTCTCTTGGAAAAACCTCGGCAGGGAGCTCATTCCATAACCTGAATGTTCGTGGGAGAGAAAACATCTCTGAAACCGCCTTGTACGTGACCATTTAGGCTTATATGTAAATATAAACTGGTACGTAATTTTATCAATATATGTGTATGAGATGTATGTATATGTATATAGAACAGACTATGTGTGTAAAGATGTGTATATGTTTAAATTGATTATACAGCTAAAGTTTGTAAATTAGTTAAAAATATTTGTAACCAGAAATAGGCTTCACCACACAGGGAATACTAATGTGAATGCTTGGGAACAAAATGTATAGTTGTTACATGTATTTTTGCTTCTAATATTTTTTTTTAATGGATGATAATAAAATGGCAACCCCCCCTGCGCTAACGGTATACGCTGGCGGGGCACCAGTGAGGGATGATAGGTGAGAATGAAAAAGCAGGTTAGTTAGCCCATCGTGATGAAAACATATAGAATTCAGCACGATAGTTTCCAGAGGGAACCACGTGGACGTCGACCTGATAGGGTGTATTACTAGCAATGGGGCTGGTAGCCCGCATTACTAACAATCCCTTCCCCCTTGTATCTTAATAAATAATATTGTTATTATATAATTTTAATGGTTTTATTATTACTAAACAAATAAATGCAGAGGATTGTCGAAACTTTAAAGTCTCGGCAGATGAAGCAAATATAAAAAAAAAATTGTACGCAAACGAATTATCCCTAACCTGGATTGGCAATTAAATATATTACATGACGTTTTAATTCATGGCTTCGTCATTTTTTTATTTCCTTTCAAGACAATTGTATAATTGATTTTATACGTCATTAAAAACCGAAGCCCAGTGGGTAATGTTCACGATGCCCGGCGGCCGGCGTGGAACGTGAGCGCGCGCGTGCGCAGCCACTCGTGACAGTCTGATGCGCACAGATCGAGTCCATTGATCACCGGAAATTTAATGTTCCCGTTAAACTAAGCTCGTCATTATTTGTATATTTACATGTTAAGGTCGTGACCTTTTACTATATAATGATACTAATTATAACCCGCACATTTGTCCGCGTAAATAAAAATAAAAATCATGTGCTAATATTTTCTAATGCAATTAGTTGATTCTTCTGAAGAGAGTAAAAATTTAGAAGTATACAAAATCAACAAAACTATATGAATATAAAGTTAAAAAATAAAAACAAAAAAACAACTCACCAGAGGGAGACTGCTTGGGTACCTCTGTCCCATTCGTGTTTCAACCGTGAAGCAGTTGTGTTTGCATGGCTGTGTTTCGGTTTGAAGGGTGGGATATGGTGTGAATTTACTGGGTACAGAGGAATAACAAAGAAACATGGTGTTATGAATTTATTTATTTCATCAATTAGGTGAGTTTTACAGATTCTCAAAACGCTAATCCAGGAAAGCATCAGTACAATAAAACATATTTTACAATTAAATGGAATAATATTAATATGAATTAAACAATAATAGAAACAACATTAGATCTTAAATCACTGAACACAAACACTCTACGGTCATACGACGAAACTCCAGCAAGTTGGAGGCAAACACGTCTAATTGCGGATACCGGCTCAAAAAAATCTTTGAGTAGTTTCAACGCAAGAGAGAGGGGAGCTTGCTCGGCCAACACTGTTCTTCTTAACGGAACATCAAATAACGTCTACGTGCTCGCACGTAGTTAATGGGTGCTCCTATTGATATTGATACCAGCACAGTTAGGTTGCATTTTTCCCCCATATTAATTTTAACATATAACCAATTAAATTTAATTCCCGTCTCATTCCACGTGTATTACAGCCCACCATATCCAATAAAAATAAACTCGGATATATATGGGGATAAGACAGCTTTAAAACCGTACTGTTTTTACATGCATATCAAAGTAAAAAATATCTTTACTTATATTACAAATGTGAAAGTGAGTTTGTTTGTTACCTTATAACGTCTTAATGGCTTAGCCAATCATTATGCAATTTGGTATATAATATAGTAAGAAGAAGGATATAGGCTGTATACTAGAAGTTATGTTAGTAAACCTCTCCCGGTCACACAGCCGAAGTCGCGGGTAGAAGCTGGAATTTGCAAATATAACAAAGCATAAAAAAATATTGCAGGGAGTCAGTGGATGCAGGTGTCTCAGGACCGTTCTTTATGGCAGTCTATGGGGGAGGCCTATGTCCAACAGTGGACGGATAATGGCTGAAATGTTGATGATGATGATAAAAAAAAATATTATAGTGAGATAAACCTTTTTTTAGTCGAAAATCCCGGGGACCAGCGGGCATGCATGCTTGTGGTAAGTTTTAAAAGTCAATAACATTCACTACAGTTAACAAAAATTGTTCACGATGGTTTCCAGGGGGAACCACGTGTGGGTCGACCTAATAAGGCATATTGCTAGCAATGGGGCTGTCAAACTCCATTGCTAACAATCCCTTTCCCCATACTGTTAGATTTCTTAAGTGCAGATTCTGTTCTAGAATTATATCTATATTAGGGGCTTTTTTGTTTATATACACCTATAGGTCAAGATATGAATGGAATTAAAAGAAATCAATAAAGCGGTATATGTAATGACAGAGGACTTTACGATATCGTATTTCTCTATCTGATGCAAGAGATGCGATATAAAGATGAAATTAGTTTCTCATGCAATACATTGAATAAAAAATGTTGCCCAATTTAAAACGGTAATTACAAATATTGCAATCATATTATTAGACTCATTAGAGTTTTAAAACACGATGGCCTCGATTCAAAAGTAAAATTCACAGTCGTAAAATATGGAAAATTTCTGGTATGCGGTTATTGTTAATAATGAGTTTGCTATACGAACATTTCAAGTTATTCAACTTTATTAACAAAGAATTTAGTATTCAGGTAAATAAAAAAATCTGACCTCAAGTATTAATTTCATTAAAATTATATACTAATTTATATTTCCTTGCTTATTAGAATTTGATTGCGCAATATTGGTTACACAGGTTACACTCTGGGTTTGTTGCACGCGTCCGTGTAGCCTTACTTCAGGTTGCAGCTGAAAATCAGTGCTTTGCTTTTAAGCAAAACTATCACTGAGCTGTAGCCTATTTGGGTCACTGCGACACACTTGGTGAAAACATATCTCCATACTTCATCTTTTGTTTTATATTTGAAAAAATGTAAATAATCTGATTGTATAAACTCATTTGTTAATTTACGTGTGTCATAAATGGCTTAAATAAAGTGTTTATTTATCTATCTATATAAATAAAAGTAGGTATCAGCTAATGCTGGAGAATCTATATTCTAGATTTAGGGTACAGAGGGCATTATATTTTAGTTAAAACAATATTAATTTGTTATGTCCATGGTACTGTTCATGTCTGTATTACCATTTTCTATCATGTGGGCCATTAGCTTGTTTGTCATTTTATATTGCTTAAAAAAACTTCTTTTTTTTTATACAACTTAGAATGGCAAACAAGCTGACGGCCCATCTGATGGAAAGTGGTAACCGTCGCCTAGACATCTTCGCCCATGATACCTCCCATGCGCTGCCATTTCTGAGGGCTCAGGTGTTATACCTCTGTACTCAGTAAATTCACGCCATATCCCACCCTTCAAACCGAAACACAGCCATGCAAACACCACTGCTTCATGGTTGAAACACGAATGGGACAGAGGTATCCAAGCAGTCTCCCTCTGGTGAGTTGGTTTTTTTGTTTTTATTTTGTAACTTTATATTCATATAGCTTTGTTGATTTTGTATACTTCTAAATTTTTACTCTCTTGACCATATGACCATAGAGTGTTTGTGTTCAGTGATTTAAGATCTAATGTTGTTTCTATTATTGTTTAATTCATATTAATATTATTCCATTTAATTGTAAAATATGTTTTATTGTACTGATGCTTTCCTGGGATAGCGTTTTGAGAATCTGTAAAACTCACCTAATTGATGAAATAAATAAATTCATAACACCATGTTTCTTTGTTCCCAAAAAAAATTTTAACTACACTTAATTGTAGTCTAAAATAAAATAAATCGTGTAATAAAATGCACTCTAGAATATAAAACTAAACATATTAATCATTCTGATTTCCGTTTTTGGATAGGTTAAAACATAAACTTACCTGTTTAGAAGTGTTTCAATAAGATGAGCGGAATGCGGCAATGCTTCCACCAGCAAATCTATTGGTAACTCCGCCGCCACGCTCTGCAGCACTCCAGGGCCCAATCGGGACAAAACGGCGGCGGCTTCCCGGAACTGTCTTCCCTCGGCCAATAGCAACACGCGGCGTAGTGCGAGACGAGGAGAGGTATACGTATTCTTCTCCCGCTCTCTTTCGCGCCGGATTCGCTCTCGACTCTCGTTCATTTTGCGAGTTACAATGGTAACACTAGCCCATTGTTTTTAATGGATGTTATCGGATTGCAAGTTTTCGGCGTCTGTAAAAGATTAAAATAGATGTGTTAAGATAAAACTCGCATTTGTTGGACTTTAATCATTTTTCTTTACAGCGCAGTTACAATCGTTTTTAAATCATCGTCTCATGATTGTATTTACCACAAATAATAATAATATTAATTTGTTTTTTTTTATACAACTTAGAATGGCAAACAAGCTGACGGCCCACCTAATGGAAAGTGGTAACCGTCGCCTATAGACATGAGCAATACCATGGACATAACAGTACACACACATACTGTTTCGTCCATGATACCCCCCATGCGTTGCCATTCCTAAGGACTCAGATGTTATTCCTCTGTACCCAGTAAATTCACAATGGTGTGAAGGGTGGGATATGAATCCCACCCTTCAAACCGAAACACAGCCATGCAAACACAACTGCTTCAAGGTCGAAACACGAATGGGACAGAGATACCCAAGCAATCGACTTTTGTACAAAGTCTCCCTCTGGTAAAATATTTTGGTTTATTTGCATAATTAGTTCCACTCTTGACAGGCGGATTGGCAACCACAGTTAGACTTTAGAGATGTTTTAAAAGGGACGTTGCTGTCCATCCCTTACCCTCCTTAGTTCCTCTTACGACACCCATGGGAAAGGAAGGGCGGACTTATCGAAGCCGGGAATTTCTGAAAAATCTTAGTCTATGCACAATTGACGGAATTATCAGTTAACAAATGTGGAAAAAAATACAGCCGAACCTTTTTTTTTTTAAGTCGGTTAAAAATAACAAAACATTATTGTCGTTTTATAACTTCACGAACTTTCTATCGTAATGTCGTGGGTACATTCGTAGTTTTACGTTCCGTTAAAAAACAAGTGAATACGAATTCACCTGTATAAACGTATATACTTCGTTCGTTCGCGAAATATTAGCTGACATATTTCGCGAGGGAAAATATCTGCCAGAGATGAAGAGCCACAGTCAGGTTTCGAATACTGCTGCAAAAAGCGCACTTCCGCGGCTCGAGCGATGTCAAAAACCTTCATTACTAAGCGGCAGGTGATGACCGCCCGCCGACACCGGGCATGTCATAGAAGGTGGCGTTCGGTGTGTTACAAACTGTTGTCCCTACGGGCAAAACTTTTTTTTATGTAACTTATAATGGCAGACAAGCTGACGGCCCACCTGATGGAAAGTGGTAACCGTCGCCTATAGACATGAGCAGTACCATAGAAATAACAGAGTATACTGTTTCGCCCATGATACCCCAATGCGTTGCCATTCCTGAGGACTCAGATGTTATTCCTCTGTACTCTGTAAATTCACGCTATATCCCATCCTTCAAACCGAAACACAGCCATGCAAACACAACTGCTTCACGGTTGAAACACGAATGGGACAGAGGTACCCAAGAAAACTACTTTTGCCCTTGTGAATTATGGTAAATAGGAGATAGTTTATCTGTGTATCTAGTTTTATTTTAATTCATTCTGTCATTTAAACGTTATTGGGTATAAATATTTACAATCTATTATATTTTTAAAATTAGTAATTATTTATTTTCTAGTTTGGAGAACCTCTGTATATTGTAATGTCATCATCAAATCTTTCCTTTTGCATTAACTGTCCATTGCTGAACATATGCCCCCGTTATAGGGTTGGGGGGGGGGGGGTTGCCAGTATCTGAAAAGCAAGCAATTCATACAATTTTTTTTAATGGATGATAATGAAATGGTAACCCCGCCTGCGCTATCGGTATACGCTGGCGCGGCACCAGTGACAGATGATAACTGAGGATGAAAGCAGGTCAGTTAGCCCATCGTAAAGAATTCCACGAGAATTAACCACGATGGGGGAACCGCGTGGAGCTCGACCTGATAGGATACTTTGCTAGCAACGGCGCTGTTAGACCCCATTACTAACAATCCTTTTCCCCCCAACAATTAATTATTCAAACAAAGTATAATAAGGGTTATATAAAAAGAAGTCTCGCTCTCGTCTCATGCCTTGTACCATCACGTAATTGGGCGAGCGTAACTGTATCTATTATTACATTTTAACTGAATAGTAAACCACCGCCATGGTCGGTACTCTTTAAGCAATATTGTACCGTAACTGACGAAATTTCGAACGTCGACCGCAGTCATTAGTATGGCAACATACAAATAATATAATGGCGCTACTAATGACGACGACCGATGACTGATGACTAAGCTTTATTGATAACTCTTGAATGAACTCTAGAAATCTTAGCTCTCAAGAAGCTATTTACTTTATATCTGCTATATATCTGATAATGTTTTATCTTTTATATATTTATAAAGCATTTTATGTATTTTCTCTTTTATATGTGTTTGTATTTATATGAATAACTTAAGCTTTTTTTTTATACAACTTAGAATGGCAAACAAGCTGACGGCCCACCTGATGGAAAGTGGTAACCGTTTCGCCCATGATACCCCCGATGCGTTGCCATTCCTGAGGACTCAGGTGTTATTCCTCTGTACCCTGTAAATTCACGCCATATCCCACCCTTCAAATCGAAACACAGCCATGCAAACACAACTGCTTCACGGTAGAAACACGAATGGGACAGAGGTACCCAAGCAATCGACTTTTGTACAAAGTCTCCCTCTGGTCTTTACATACTGATGCACGCAGGCAACGCCATGGGAAACCTCTAGTATTATATATTCATATTTAATGAGACAAAACGTATGTATACCAATTACTCAATATTTTAATTATCCAATCAACCAGTGTAATCTGACCTCTAAACTCGAACAATAGGTACCGACTAACGGTTCAAGAGTCACAACTTTTTACTGTGCAACAATCAAACGAGACTAGACTAGATAGTTGCAACGCAAGCTAATTCCGTGCAATCATTATTGTTCTAAATACAGATAGCATCTGTTTCCCAACAGTAAACACGGTTACTGTTTGTCTGTCCGTCCGTTACACTCCCATAGTGGTAACTAACGGGATGACTCGGTTTCGTATGTCATTGAGATCATTTCAACATGTATACGATGACTTTTACATCATTTGTATCTAATTTAAGGTGTCAAGGCGGTAAACAATTAAACAAAGTTTAAAAAAAAAACCGTTAACACCAAACTGTGATGTTGGTACAAAAAATACTAATAATGCAGTTATATCCGAATAGACTAAAGACAGGAAATTCTCTATATCTATGTAAACCTACTTCTTTCATAAATCTCCTCTACATCTACAGGGGGGAAAGGGATTGTTAGTAATGGAGACTAAAAATCCCATTGCTAGCAATATACCCAACCAGGTCGACCTCCTCGTGGTTCCCTCTGGAAACTATCATGGTTAATTCCTGATAAATTCGTCATGATGGGCTACTTGGCCTGTTTTCATACTCATCTATCACCCTTCACTGGTGCTCCGCCAGCATATCCCGTTAGCGCAGGCGGGGTTACCATACAATTTTCACCCATCAAAAAAAAATATATCAGTCGTCGTAATCTATAGTATTGAAATTAAGTACCCGACTGAAACGAATGGAGATATCCGAATGAAATGGGAGTTATCGAAATGGATGATGATCTTGTTTCCACCATCAATGTCCAGACGAACGAGAACCCAATATATAAATATCGGAACGGTACTGACTTTGCCCTTACTTTATCTAGAAATAGTTGGGGAATGAGTATACTTTATTTGCATTATACAAAATATTCCCATAGGAAATAAGCAAGACAACGATACAATTGTATAAATACAGTAAGGCGGTCTTATTGCTGAGAGCAATCTTTCCAAGACAACCTTAAGGTAATGGACTAATTGTTGTACAAGTAGGTATGATAGTGCTGTATAATTACCAGATTAATGTACCAGAGGGAGACTTTGTACAAAAGTCGATTGCTTGGGTACCTCAGTCACATTCGTGTTTCAACCGTGAAGCAGTTGTGTTTGCATGTCTGTGTTTCGGTTCAAAGGGTGGGATATGGCGTGAATTTACTGGGTACAGAGTAATAACACCTGAGTCCTTAGGAATGGCAACGCATGGGGGGTATCATGAGCGAAACAATATACTCTGTTATGTCCATGGTACTGCTCATGTCTATAGGCGACGGTTACCACTTTCCATCAGGTGGGCCGTCAGCTTGTTTGCCATTCTAAGTTGTATAAAAAAAATTAAGAAAGTCAACAGCGTAAAATATCAAGAAAAATAATTATAAGTAACTTTATCAAGTTATATATGGATATTTGTTAAGTTACAGCCAAAAGCTAGTAAAAAATATGATGCCTTGAATGCATCACTCATTAATATACGTCTAATTAACAGTGGGAGTGGAAAAGAGAGGACGAGCTTGATTCAGAGCTACGAACCGCGGGGTCTTCGGAAGTGACTCGTTAAAGTTCTCTTGGAATTTAAGTAGGCAGCCAAGGTCCCCCAAACAAATAATGATAATTTAATTTAATTATTAATATTTAATAATTTTGGCGTTATTATTATATATTAATATGGATATAGATATATAGAATGGAAATAATAAACTGGCCAGAAAAAATAACAAATGAGGAAGACTTGAAAAAGGTGAATGAAAAAAAAAACAATAATAAAAACAATAGAGAATAGAAGAGACAAAACGCTGTGACACCTTATACGACATGACAATTTTTTAAAGAACATAGTAGAAGAAAAAATAGAGGGTAAAAGAGGAAGGGAAAGACCGAGATATAACTACATGGGACAGATAAAGGAAACACTAGGTGTCATGTCGTATAGAGAGATCAAAGATACGGCATGGGATAGAGCTGGCTGGAAAGAAAATACATGATTTAGTTGCACCGACAAGAGGGAACTCTTAAAAGAAAAGAGATATAAATATATTATTATGCCATTGCCAACAAGTTGTTAAACTTGTTGCTGTATCTTTTGTTCAAGTGCAATAAAAAATATATATAATATGTATATATTATTTTGCGATGACGACTCAGTCGGACTACACTCAACTGCTATTAAATCAAATTTCAGCCCAAATATTGATGTGTCTTTTTAA